AAGGCAGATAGAGGCGAAAGAATGTGAAACACAAAATAGTCAATATTGTGACAATATAGCAAGTATTTTCTGACTAAATTTTTTAGTAAATAATTTAAGAAATAGTTCACATATAACAATTTCAATTCTTTATGAACTACCAGATTATGCTGGAATATGATTTATATAATTGAAAATTTGTTTAGATTAAAGAACTTAATAAATTAAATGTTTCTTTATATTGTTTAATAATTTGTCATATGTAAGATTAATTGTAATATTTTCATTTATTTTTTCTTTTTCTCCTTCATCTATTTTATCTATTTGTAATAAATTATCATCATCCATATTATCATAAACATCTGAATCCCTAAATTTTCAACAATTTGATTTTTAACTGGTTTAAAGAAATTATAAATTAACATTTGATCTTCTTTAGTTTACAATCTAAATTTCAAGATACTGATTTAGATAGTTATCTTCCTATTTTCAGTTCAACTTAATAACTTTATCATATATACATATAATCTTTTTTGAATGAATAATATAAGCATAAAATTCATGTTTTAAAAATCTTTCTTTAATATATTTTTACAAGAGTATGAAGAACTTTTTTTTAGAATAAAATACTTTATAATAAAATAAAAAAAACTTTTCTAATAAAGTATAATAAATACTTTTATGTAATGATAATTGTATTGTAACTAATAAATTTGCACTAATATAATTAATAATTTATATATATTATTACTAGCTAAAAATTCACTATTGAAAAGTTGATTTACAAAGAATTATTAAATGATCTATAGAAGTTACAGAAATTAATTTTATGTCGATCACAAATTAGAAAATCTGCATAATTCTGAATCTATAGGATTTTTAGGATTTTTAGGATTTACCTGATAAGCCTTATAAGCTGGATAATTATTATAATGCTTATTTTCATTATTTTAATTATTTTTATTATTATTATTATATTTATTATATTTGTTATTATTATTATTATCATTATAAAAATCTTGTAGTTACAAATGTAATTAGTTAATAACATAGCAACTAGTTAGCTGTAGCAAATTAATTTTGTATAAATAGAATAGCTTTTTACTTAAGTTGTAAATTAACTCATTTGCGAGTTTTAACTCTCTTATAAGTTCTTAAATACTTGTGAGTTTCAAGTAATATAAATAAAAGAATCAACTTTAAAAAACAATTGCTTTTCCCTTCTATGTATCTATATTTTAGGATTTGATTGTGAACTACTACACTAACTTGCTTTTGAGTTCATCACTTAGAATAAACAAATTCTCTACATTTTTCCCTAAGTCCCTAAACCTTTAAGTTCATAAAATTAAGTGAAGTAATTCAAAGGCATTCCAGATACCTGTAGGACGTGAGATTTCCTAAAATTGTAAAGTCTGATGATAAGAAATTTACTTGTCGCAGTAAATTAACTTAGTGAAATATGTGCAATACAAAGAGAATTATTCTCAGTGACAATATTATATAATATCCTAATTTATACATCTTTAACATTAAAATTTAGTTAAAGTTATGTAATTTAAAAATTTAAAATTTTACTGATTTTATACAAATCTAAAATCTTACTTCTGAAAAGATATTAAGTTGGTTACATATTTAATTTTTTAACTTATATACTAATAATTCAGAGTTCTTTTTTTTCCTAACAAGTATTATGATATAAATTATTTAAAAGTATTAATAAATATCATACAAATTGGTTCTTAGACTTATGATTTGAATTTTTAATGTTACACATTTTTGGATGCATTATTTTCAAAAATTTCAAATTACTATTTCTTTTAAATCAGCTAGAAAGTATATATATATTATTTTATAACTTATTTTAGCTGGTAAGAATATAATTGATTAAGTTATTCTATTAATATTTTCTAAACTTGATAATCTGCATATTTTTCATGAAAATTCTTTATTGTTTTAATAATAATTTATCAATTACTATTTTTTCTTTTATTAAGATATTTTTTTAATATTACTATAAATTTTTACTGAAAGATTATTATTTATCAAGTGATTTCTAATATTTTCAAAATAAGTTTACTAATTTCTAACATATTGAAATAAATTTTAACAAAAAGTATACTATAATCTCAATAATAGAAAGTTCTTTTATTAGATCTATTTTATTTTTAAGATGTCTACTAATACTTGTTGATTTACTATTTATTACTTTAATCTATATCATTAAAAATATATCTTGTTCAATTTAGAAAGTATTTGAAAAGACTTTCTTAATTCTGAAAATTCTTTCTTATGAATTCTTGAAGAATAATCATAATTGTAACTTTTTTCTAAATTGAATAGCTTTTTAATATTTGGGTTGTGATCTAAGAAAATCAAGTTCTGAGAAATTTTTGACTAAAATTAATATCTTATTACATTTTAATCTAAATGTAATAAAAATTAAAATGCAATTAAAATCTCAATTTTATTAAAAAATTCTCAGAATTTGATTTTTTTAGTCACAATCCATTTATTAGAACTATTCCTATATATATAATTTTATGTATAAATAATAACAATATTAACTTTTAGTTGATAAATCTGATGATTACGGATAATAAATAAAGTGATATTTATTTACTTATAAAGGATGTATGTTATAATAAGATGATAATGACATTATCATTAAGCAAATTGATATCACAAAAATAATTAATTTTATTAAATAAATATGTAAGTTTATAATTCAAACAATAAAAGTATCAGTTATTACTGCAAAAATTATTTATTAAGAGATGCAAAAAAATCTACTATTAATAATATACAATATTGCAATATATTTATAAACTAAACATCACTTATTCCAAAAATGCTAAAAACTTTTTATATAATTCTTTAGCATCTGTCAATACATCAATAGTCTTTGGTGGATTTGATTTCATTAACTTTTTACCAAAATCTGTAATTTCACTTGGTAACTTGAATGAATAATCAATAATGAGAAATCCAACACTCCAGATATCTGTTAATATATCATGATATCCTTCCCTAATTTCTGGTGCATGATTATTTTTCTCTAATCCTTCTTCCTTCAAATATTGAGGCGAGTAACAAGCAAATTCAAAATCAATGAGAAACCATTTATCATTATCACGATACTTCACAATGTTTTGCCAACGTATATCACGATGCATTATTGGAATATTATGCATCACCTATAGATTAAGAAGTTAATAAGTATATATATTTTGATTTAGAATTTTCAAAGATTTCTAATTAATTTACCAATAGTGCTTCTAGAACACAACATACTACAAATAACATTTCCTTTAAATCTTTTGGATATAATACATCTCCTTGTGGTTGAAAATAGCATGCATCATTTGAGCTTTTGTAGATCTTTTCAATATTAGGCACATTATTGAGTACTTTATATATTTCATTCAAATGTTTAATAATACTTTTTTTTTTGTATATTTTTCTTACTGCTAAGCCAAGGAAGGTAATGGTTGTTCTATTTCTTGATATTATTCCATACTCTGGATTGTTTTTTCTTTTGCAGAGTGAAGCAAGAGAAGGCAGAATTCTAGAAATATTTCTACAAATGTTTCAAACAATTATTCTGTTCTTTAAGAAAAATAAATCATATGGACTACCAATATCAAGTGTACGAATTTTCTTGTTTTCCTTGTATATTGCACAAAAAACCACATTACTTTCAATTGAATAATATGCTAACAAATATGGTACAGCATCACCATAATCCCAAATTATTTTTTCTGTTAATTCTTGTGATGGATCTCCTCCACTATCAGCTCCTTTTTCTTCTCCTCGCCAAATAGCATTATTGAGTATACATCCAGCAGTATCAGGTCATTTATGTCCTGTGCTTGTATTAAAACATGTATTTCGACTAATTATTATACCATCAGTGAGAGTTTCAATTGTGTATTTAATACAAATATCAAGGCCTACGTGGTAGTAATCTTCTGTATTACCTTTTACAAATGACCGTTGCTTTATATTATGATCAATCCATTTGGACACTGTGGCATTATAAACATATGAATTCAATGCTTCTAAACCAGCTGGAACAAAATATTGATCTAATAGAACTTTTTCTGTCATTCGTGACAAATCTTTGAAATGAAGAATGTCTTCATAAAAATTGCACGGAATTTGTAACTTAGTTATTGGCAATTCAAGTATAAATTTCGGAAGCTGATGGAGGGTAGGTAATGTTTGAATCTCAGGCTGCAACATTAGTTCACGAGAATTAATATATTCCAAAGATGCTTTATAAATAAAACAGCGAGTATATTAATATTGTCCAAATGAAGGCAGATAGAGGCGAAAGAATGTGAAACACAAAATAGTCAATATTGTGACAATATAGCAAGTATTTTCTGACTAATAAATTGTTCTTACCAGATTCTTCAATGGATGAAAAAGGTAATTCAGAGTTAATTCAAGACAAAATTAATGATGGATAAAAATAACCAGAGAAATAAAATAAATTAATGTTGCAAACAATACACCAAATGATCACAAATAAATAAATAAAATTGAATGAATGGAGAATAATTTTTTGTATATTTTTTTTGCGCAATTCGTTCATTACCTTTCCCTACACCGAATTCTCTTAATGCTTTTCCCCACTCCACTACTTGTTTCCTGCACTCATCTTCCTTCTTCTCCAACGTCTCTTTTTCTCGCTTTAAATCATCCTTCTCATCTTCATATTCTTCCTTCACTCTTCCCCTCTTCAAGCCATCCAATCTCTCTCCCCACTTTTCTTTCCACTTCTCCAATTCTGTTTCTGCCTTTTTATACTCGTTCCTAGCTTCCTCTAGTTCCTTTTCAATTTTGTCAACAGTTGTCATATTATAAATTAAAAAATTGAAATTAATCAAAAAAAAAATTTTTTTTTTAGATCGATGATATTTTAATTTCAAGTTCGAAATATTGATTTGATCTTAAGAATTTCACGTGATTCTGTGATCTAAATTCAGAACGCCGCAGAATTAATTAATTCATTCTACAAATCTTTTTTTTTTTTTTTACATAATGGCAATATACGAAGAAATTAAAAACCAACTAAACATTGCAGTCAGAAACCACGAAGAAGAAAAGTGGAAATTGAAGGAATTCGAAGAGGGGGAGGATGGAACATGGCTGACAAAGTTGAGGGGAAAGGCGAGAACAAACGACATTTGTGAAGAGGAGAAACAGGAGAAGAGAAGGTTGAAAAAAAGGAAGAAGAATTAACGAAAGAAAAAAATGATTGGGGAGAGAAAGTGCGATACTTGCAAAAAAAATTAACAGAATATAACGAAAAAGGTAAAGAACAAATTGCGTTTCATTTATTTATTTGTCTTAATACTGAGATTAACATTACACAAGACTTTGATGGTAATAAATTGGATATGACTAAGAAGGTTCAAGAAATTTTTCAAAGAGACAGACCTTCAGATAATAACGTTCATATATTGGTGCAACTGCCTCCGCCCGCCACCGCTGGTAAGTGTCTCCCAATGGTTTACCTCTCGAACAAGGATTTCGCGTAATCTCACTTCCTTTATTTTTTTTATTCGATCTGGAAAAGGAAAGTGACCACTGGAAGATTCTTACGAAGGTCAAATTAGTAAAAGAGCGAAACTAGCAGGTGTGGTTCAACTAAGTCTAAACATTATCGTTTTAACTAACATACACGGATATTTTATTAGATCCGAACATAATTTCTACTGCTCGTAAAATCAAGGAGAAGATAATGAAACTTTCTGATGAACTTGAATATTATTCGAATCCAAAAAATCTCTTTCCATTGCCGTTTCCATACCTTGGCCGAAAAAAGCCAATAGGAAGATTTACTATTGACAATAATGGATATTTCAACTTCATGGGAAGAAAGGAATTCAGGAACGTTTTAGAAACCATAA